TATATAAAAGAATCTCATCTCAGAAATGGCTCTATTTAACATAGCCACATACAGTGATGCGAAACATAAGAGCTTTCACTTTGGAAGAAAGCGTTTCCAGAAATGTCAATTACATTCATTCTATTATATTAAATATTCCCAACCGAGTTTCAAACTCAACAGGTGATGAATAACAGAATTTTACATCTCATTTGCATTCAAAAAACAATCAAAATTTACAGTATGATTAAAACAAGCCAATGTTCAAAAAAGTTTTAATTAAAGATAACAATTCCATGAAAGGAGAGGATAAGACTGGGATGGCTAGAAGTATTTGGTCTTAATAAGGCAATACAAAATAGATCCATTATCAAAGACCATTTAATTTTTAAAGATCGACAATACCAAAAGCATAAAATGGAGTATAAGAAAATAGTTTTTTATAAGTATGATTTAATTAAAGCTGTTTACAGTTATTCTCTCCCACAGTAGTTAAGCATGAATTTAAAAGAATAAGAGATGAGAAACACAAGCACACACAGCACACAGGGTCAGAGGAGGCAGCATGCAAAGTCCGTGGAGCTTGAGATTTCACTGCAACAGGAATGAGACCAGACGAGGGTGGCCTTGAGTTTTCTACTGGGGAACAGGGTAAAGAGAGAAAGAAAGGGGGGGGAAAAGACTGCAAAGGAAACAAATACGAAGTCATGTAATTGCCCGTTGCCCAAAACGACAGCACGATAGAAAACAGGAGCAAGTTAGTTCTCAGAGATGACTAGAGATTTTTCAGTGTTTACACAAAAGTACACCGTACATTTTTCTTTTTTCTTTTTTTTTTTATAAAATAAAATAAAAGTCATTTGCCACCATAAACCTTTTCTTTAGAGAGGAAAAAAATCTGAAGCAGGTCACAAGGATTCTATTAAGTCATTTCAATGCTGAGGAAAACAGAGTAACAGAACTAATCACTTCCCTATATATGGATGTCAAGATGACAATTCAGATTACTCTTCAAACTAATCCTGAGAAGAAATCTGTTTACAATTCAAACAGTAATGTTATGTAAAAAGTATTAACAAATCCACTATTACAAATATCAATTTCCTATATGGTCTTCTATATATACACACAATAAAATGGTAAATATATGCAAAAATATTAAAAAAAAACATGCACAGATCACCTTCCCCTTTGGAATCTGGACTTTCTATAAGATACTTCTGTTTGCCTTTCCCACCCCATCCTCTGAAATTGTTTTTATTTCTATCACCCTACCCACACTGAATACTATTCCCTATAACTCTGCATAAAGCCAATGAGAAATATATGTATTTTACATTCAAGCTTTAAATCTTAAAATGACCCTGTTGTAGCATACGACTTATCAAATAAGCAGCTTTTTTCCCCTGTTTTGCTTATTTTCTGTTTTTGCAGTTGTCAGTCTCCATGATCCATTCCGTGGCGAGCTGGGAAAAAATGCAGTTGCTAAATCAACGTCTCAACAGTGTGAGGCTCCTGAATGTGTCCCAGGAGTCCCTATGCAACTGTCCTGAGCATGAGAGCATTGCACACAGAAGACAGTCCATCGCACAGCGCCGACTATCTACAAAGGTCTGAGAGGGGCGTGTCCCTCTTGTGTTTCCTCTTTTTGCCATGGTAATACTGATTATTGGATTTGCCTTGATGTTGTTTGTTTGTCATCAAGGAACCATGGCTTGTCTGAGTTGTACCTTGGAAGCCTTTGCTGGAAGAACGAAAGAGCCTTGCTGATCCATGCTGTGGAGAAAGAAAGCCATCAGAAAGGCATCAGTGTTACGTATTAGCACTCAGGAGGAGCTTTCAAAATGAGAACTACCCTGGCTAGAGCTGCATACTGACTAGATTTATCTAGCAGGCAGAAAAAGAGGCTAATTCTACTGAGCTCTAAAACACTTACATTACATTTTTAATGGAAAAACAGACCACTAATTGAGAAAATTGTCCACTACCTTGCCTTTGTAACAGTCTGTGCATTACTGAGAAGCTCTTAGACACACATAGGTGTGCAGGCAGGTCAGGGGTGGGCATAGCTGGTTGGTCCTTTCCTGCTCCTGCTATTGTCACTTGCGACTTTCTCCTGACTAGTCTCTCCTATCAGCCTTGACACTTTAATTGCTATTTCTCCATGAGTTTGTGTTTGGGGCACATAGCTGAGGCTGTGGAAGTAAAGGGCACTCTGAGTCAAATCAGACACAAGGTGACTAATGGGGCAAGTCATCTCTGCTGTCAAGAGGCATTTTCTCAGATCCCAGCTGTATTCAGAGGGCAGGGGCCTCAGGCCAGAGCCCAGTATCCATGGGCTCCTCCCCTTCCTTTGATTCATTACTCATAGTTAGTAATTGTAAGCAACTACAACACTTAAAAATTAGGGTACATCTGTGGCCTATTTAAATCAAGGACAATATTAATGAACTGACCACACCTCAAAGCTATGTGATAGGTACAACATAGGCAAAAAGGTATGAAGTATTTAAAAAGGATAAGATTATTCTCAGATATGCACATCATTGCCATGAAGTCATGCGAAAACTTCACGGGGAGTTTATTTCAAATACTACTGAAATCTTATTACTTGATGCCTCTTTTTTGTTGTTGCCAGGGACTGAATCCAGGGCCTCAGGAATGCTTAACCAGGCAATGAACAACCCCCCGCCCTACAACTCTGGGATTTTTTATGCTGAATCTGTGATCCTGTGTGAGAGGGGGCTGGGGTGCAGCTGTGGGAGAACATTTAATTTTCTGAGCATGCACAGAGGCCTTGAGTTCAATCTCAAGCACCACAGCAACAACAACAGAACTATAGTGAGGTGGGTTGGATGGAACACCCTGTTAGGACTGGTCACTAGATTTCCACACAGTTTGATGTTACAATGGTGTCTCATAAAGATCCTCAGGAGATCCTTTTATTAGAAACATCATCATGCTTGGAACCTCTTAAAATAGGTTTGTTCTTTTTGTTTGCTTTGGTACCGGGGATCGAACTTGGGACCTTATACTTGCAAGACAGACGCCGGAACCACTGAGCTAAATCCCTGGCCCTGTTCTTCAACCTAGCATTTTCTTTAAACCCATGAAAACCACTGTTCACATGTAAGAAAGTCTAATTATTCTTCACTGAATACTAACAATAAAAACACAAATTCTACACACCTGAGATTTGTTGGTGCTGTTGGGTGTGTTAGTAGTTTGGGTGCTCTGCATTTTCCCAATTGTCTGAGAGGACTCCAAGGACACATCTTGTGACCCTACTCGGTTCCCCGTGGATGGACGGCAGAGCAGCTGTTTTGGAGTTTTGCATGGTGTTGCATCTGAATCCTAACACAAATCACATGTGTTACAATGAGAAATGTTAGTAATTGACACATTCAGTATTTAGAAAAGAAAACAATGCTACCTAAGCACTACCTGGACTAACTGAAGCACCAGGTGGTAAGGAGGCTTGAGGACGCCTCCACAGAATGAGTTGCTCAGGTTTCTTTCAAACTGTTAAAGGGTTGTGTTTTACCAGTGGGCTTCTGTTCATCAGCCAAAGTCCACTACCCACATTGGACTTGGGAATTGGCTGTGAAGGAGCTCAGAGGTCACGGTGGATGTTTGTTTGTATTTACGGAAAAATGAATCATGGTAGTACCAGGGAAAGAGCATGGCAAGAGCACAAGGTGGTAAGTTTAGAGACTCAGTTTTGGGAGGTTTGTGATGATAGATCTCTTCCACCAAGTGCACCAGGTCAGAGACTCCCTAAGACAGTGGGCTGAGCCCTGTATCAGTCTCTGTCCTTAGCCCTGGCACACTACCTGGCATCTCGAGTTACAATGTCTCAGGCCCTAAGCTCCCTCTTGAGGCTGTCTCTGCCTGTCCCCCATTGCTCTCATCTCATGTCTGGGACATCCAGCTTAGCTCTCTGTCCTCCAGAGCACCGCTCCAGGACCCTACAAGGGACCCAGGGAAAGTCTGCACATGAACTGGGTAATTTTGACCCGGTAATGACAGGTGGCCCTCCAGAACAACATAAAACTATGTTCCTTACATACTTCTTAATGTCACACAATGAACTCAGAATTCAAACACAGTAACTTGTAAGGTGACTTTAAATCTTAACTCAAAATTTACCTTAATAGAGAAAACTCAAGATGTAAATGATGTTGGAATTTTAATCAGAACAGACACATTAAATAGATTCTAGGTTGGGGAAGAGAAGAAATAGGGGAGACTCCTAATAAAGGGTCTCTTTTTGGAGTGATAGAAATATTCTCAAATTAGAGTAGCGATAGCTGTGTAACATTGGGGATACATTAAAAACCACCAAATTTATACATTTAATGGTAAATTTTATGATATATGAATTATATCTCAATTTTTAAAAACTTTAATCAGGCAGCTCAAAAACATTCTTCTGAGTTAAAAAAAAGCCTTATTTTTAAAAAAGAATATATGCTGTATGAATTATATGAAATTCTGAAACAAGCAAAACTAATCTACGGTGTTAGGAAATCCTAACAGTGGTTTCCTCTATAGAACTGGGGGCTGAGGGCACTCTTTGGGGGTGAGGATGACATTATATCTTGTTAGCATTCTGGGTTACACGTGTGTATACATTTGGTAAAATGTGAATGTTCAATTCGGGTTCCTTTTCGTCAATTTCATATCAAGAGAAAATACTACGAACAAACACTAAAGTCTGGTTAACAATGTGCAATACTAAAGTTTGGGAGAAGTATACTGATATCTGCAATCTACTTTAAAATGGATCAGAGTAAGAAGAATTAATAGGCAGAGGGACGGACAGATAGGTACATGATGAGTAAAATGTTAATGGTAGAATCTCACGGTGGGTATAGAGACCAATAAAATTCTTTCACTTTCACTGTATGCTTGAGAATTTTCAGAAGAAAATGTTGGGTAAAAGAACAAGTATGAAAGTTATTAAAATTTTCCAGTAACAAGCAAAGGAAGCAGACTTAGCCCCAGGGATGGTTAACACCCGCAAGATAATGGGAAGCACAAAGTTTGTCTCCTGTACTTACCACATCACTGGAGCTGGACTGCGTGGCAGAAGAGGACGACACCGGACCTGATGAAGAGTTTGAAGAGTGTTTACTAAGAGATTCCGAAGTTTTACTTCTACATTTTCCAAGGGCTTCATTTTCTTCAGACAGATTATTATTACATTTATCTAACTGCTGAGTATCTACTATCAAGGTAACACCATTTCCTGAAAGAGTGGCAAAAGATTGGAAAACGTTTCTTCCCATTAAATACATACAACACAGAAAAGCCTCTTAGACTCAGTCAGTACTGAAAAAAACCTCACCATTGCATGATGGCTCCGGCCTGTTCTGTAAGCCCCACTGCTTGGAGATCCAATCTCTGTACGTAGCAACTTCATCTGTTACTCTAATTATCCTACCTAATATGCTGTAGGTATTTAAAAGAAGGGAAGGGTAAATGAATTTGAAGATAAGAAGCAACAACCAATTTGAACACAATGGGCTGATTTTAGTGAAACTTTTTTACCTCTCTGTTTCGTTGTTGGGATAGTATTTTGCTATCGGTGATACAGCATGACTCAACACAACATAGGCATAATCAAAGGCCTGTTTCACTTGCATGGCCCCATAGGAACTCCTTCCAACATCATTACCTTTAAAAGAACGTACATACAAAGTAGTAAACTTGACCACTGCTTTGTAGGAGTTACATGTTGACCAGCCCTCTACCACCAATAGCTACCCAGGGTGGGGGGTGCTCCCCTAAAGCTGAGCTATCAGTCTCTCCTTCAGCCACCCATGATCTTAAATGCAGTTAGTACTTTATTCTAGTGTAAACAGGAGCTATTTATGTGTTTTCCTATCCCATCACACATATAAACAGTCATGCAAACAAAAGAAATACCTGTCTATTCTCTCCTAGGAACAAATCCAAACTAAATTAAAGAAATAGTAGATTTTTCTTGGTTTTGAATAGACAATACAATATTTCCCACATTAAATTATGAGCTTCTAAAAACCAAAGACTGTCATGCATTTGGATAGAGCCAGTTCCCAATGAGTATTTCAGTGACTAAACCTATAAAACTATTAATATTTAAAATATACTTCAAAAAGTCAAAAAACAGCTCCTAGGCTATGACTGTATCTTTTTAATCCTTTTTTTTACTTTCAAAGTTACACATTAAAGCAAATGACTAATAGCACTTTCACTAAAATCCAATAATGCAGAACCTACATATGTTATGGTTATATGAGGAAAAAATATTGTCCAGAAAAGCTAAGATACAAACAAACAAACTTCATGAAAGCAAGAAAGGAATTTATATTCTGTTCACTTTCAAGGTAACACAAAGCTAGAAAAAGCACAGGAAGACGATGCAAAATTAGAGAGGAAGGAAGCACACTATAATAAATAGATAAATGGTTTCCTTTAACCCCCTTTGCTCATGATTCAAAGAAATACACTATACCCTCTCTAAGGACTTCAGAATATTTCCTTAAAGGCCTCAGTGAAAACTAGTTGGACTTACCACACAGGACACAGAAAAAGGAAAAATGGCACCAAACTGCAGGTCCATGAGGACCCGGTGAGTGAATACCTATTCCACCTGTTTATAAGGACACATGATTCTACCACCAGCTCATTTACAAGTTTGCAGATTTGGCGGGGAAGGATCCTTTAATTTGGTGTGTTTACTGTTGAGATATTTTGATTAAAAAACTATGAATTAGAAATTACTCATTTTTCATCCAAAGAGGATTTAAACTAGAAGGAGACTGACGATGCCCTCTCTTTGGGTGCCCACAAATTTACCTAATTTCAATACCTGGTTGTAAAGGATCTTCGATATAAAGCATTGATGGCCTGTAGCCATCCAGCATATTTTTCTGTACTTCATCTTTGGCCACATATGAACCGCCATCCTTTATCCGGATGCCAGTCTTTAAATAATTGAAGTGTCGTCCATATAATTCAAAAAATTCTATTAAGAGAACACCATAGTTTGTATTGGGGATGCAGGCATCTTCCCTGGGATGTAACTAAAAAGAGAAAAAAGAAAAAGAAGAAATTATTTTAGATTTTTTCTCAATTATTGGAGAGGAGGGGTTTAACATCCTGACTTCTATAAGCAATATTACCATAATTCTGGTTTAGCACAGCAGCCAATAGATAAAGGAGCAACAACAGGCTTTCTGCTATTCTAGGTGACACCACACAACAATCCTATGGCTAGAGAACTGGGGGAGGGGAGTCTGCAAGGCTGAGTTTGGCTGCTGCCCCAGGAAGCTGACAGGGCTGGCTTAGCCCATGCAGTGGGGAGGTCATTTTGACTCACAGCAGCCACTGGCAACCACTGCTACACCGACACAAAAGACTAAGACTTTTAACTCATCTGACCCAGCAGTAGCTCTCAATCTTGGCCACGATTAGCTGCTTAGAAGACATTCTTATTTTTTGCATTTATACTACCATTTACACTTATGGAAACCAGACCACACCTTGATTTGTTTTTTTGTAGTACTGAGCATGAAACGCAGGAAGTGTTGAGCTACATCCCCAGCCCTTTTTATTTTAGTCTGAGACAGAGTCTTGTTAAGTTCCCCGTGCTGGCCTTGAATTTGTAATCCTCCTGCCTCAGCCTCCTGAGGATGGGATCAGCCATATGCTGGCATATTAAAATTTGCAGTGAAAAGTCTCAAGTAACATTAAAACAACACGTTTTATTTTTAGTAGACACCAGCATGGCACACCCATGTGACTTACCTGAAGGAAACTGACAGCCATTAAAAAGAGACTATAAGAACCAATTCCACCTGTAAATACTTCATTAAGGTCCCTCTGTAATAAGAATTGTTTCAATACTAAAACCAGGTATGGCAATACAGGATATTTCTGAAAAAGAAACAAAATTATCCTTTCAATAAATACCTTTATTAATAATGTAAGCTGCAGCCATTAGCTGGGGCATAAATTGGTCCATATATTACAAAATTTGGTAGAGACGTGCAATAAACTTCATTTTCTATTTTAAGGGTAAGCTGTTTAAAAAATGAATTCTAAGTAATTAAGGATTTCCTTTTTACTCTAAACTCTAAAACGTGGTAACATGGATAAAGCTACCTGCTCGCTACAGGACAGAAACATTATTTATCTGATGATGCTCATCCCCAGCTATGACCACAGCCCTGTGGATCCTTGTGTGTAAAGAGTACAAGGACAAAACTTCTCAACATGTTAAAGCATTAAATCAGCAAAGTTTTTAAGGGACCCATTTTCTTAGGCCATGCTGCCCTGTGTACCAGGGTCCTTCAGATCATTCTGCTGCAGGCTGGTGCATGAACGGTCTTCCTGTTGTCTTCCATATGGTCTGATGAGTACACAGATTGTTCCCTTCCACACTTTACACAGAACAGAGTGATGCTACCCCTGAGCACACCTGAGCTGGCAAGGACGTACAGCACGCGTCTCTTTTGGTCATGCACACATCCAGTGCACTCTCTACAACCCAGACCATGGGTAGGGATGCTGAAGGAAACAAAGAAGGCCCAAACATCTAGAAAAGTCTCAATAGTCATTTCCAAGGGACCTTGTGGTGGCTTGCATCTAGATGTCCCCTCAAAGCCTCATGCATTCATTCTCGGGCCTTCTGGAGCTGGCTGGATCTAGGGTGTGTGATACTGGGATTAAGGGCGTGTGATACTAAATTAGTCCACTGATTGGTTTAGCATAGTTTTGGGTATGGATAATGGAAAAGCCCACACTGGGTATGGGTGGCATCACCCAAAAGGCTTATATTACAGCCTGGATGGGTAACAGGGAAAGGGAGGCTTTGGGGCTTCCTGCTTGCTGCTTCCTGTCTACCCTGCCATGGACCATTTCTCCTCTGAGATGCCCTCTGCCATGCCACACTGCCTTGAAGCCAGACAATTATGGACTAAATCCCTACAAACCGTGAGCTGAAATAAATCTTCTGTCCTTTAACTTATGCGTGTTGGGTATCTTGTTCCAGCAATGAGAAAAAAAGATTTCTATTTTCTTCTCAACTCTTATCTCTGTATTTTGTTTTTGTTTGTTTGGTTTTGGTTTTGTGAAATATGGTATCAATATGTAGTCCAGGCTGGCCTTGAACTTGCTACAAATCCCAGCCTGGCCTTGAACTCATGATTGTCCTGATTCAAGTCTTCCATTATCTGTTTTCTAGTCTTTCAAAGTGAACAAGCATGGCTTCCATAAGAAAGAACAAAGTTTATACCTTTGCAAATTATATCAGTGTAAGCAAGAATGGACAAGAACAACAGAAATACGGAGAATAAGTAAGTGGGACAGATACAGTCTCTTTTTAAAGAACTCTCATGCAAATATCCAACCGAATTTTATCTGTACATACCCTTTGGCACAGAAATTTTGCTTCCAGGAATCTTCTTACAGTTATTCATGAGTGTAAAGAAAGATGCATGCTCTTTAATAAATGGTGCTGGAAAAATTGGGCTTCAACTTGCCAAAGATTAAAACTAGACCTGTATCTCTCACCATGCACTAAACTAAAA